GCGGTGGGCGGGGAGGCGCATACGAACCCTGCCACTTGGACCTTTGGTGGAGCTCCCTGTGTGGCCGCGCAACGTGTGAGGTGTGTGCCGAAATGGGCGGGGACCCGCTTGAGAACCCTGCCACTGGGGCCGTCGGTGGATGGGACCACGGGGCGTGTGAGAAGTGTGCCGACATGGGCGGCGAACCGCATGCGAACCCTGCCACTGATGCCCAGCTCTCTATGTGGCGACAAAGCGTGTGAGAGGTGTGCCGCAATGGGGAGGGAATTGCATGCGACCGCCGCCGCTGGGGCCTTCGATGGGGTTCCCTGTGAGCCACGAAACGTGTGAAGGGGTGTGCTGAGATTGGCTGGGAACCGTATGCGAGCCCTGCCTCTAGAGCCTTTCGATGGGGCCACGGGACGTGGGAAGGGTGTGCCGCAATGGGCGGGGAAGCGCATGCGAACACTGCCATTGAGGCCTTCGGTGGAGCTTGCTATGGGGCCAGAGGCAAGGATAGGAGGAGGGAGGAGAGGGAGGAGGAGAGGAGGAAGAAGACGAGGGGCGCTGTCTCTTCGAAACGAGGACCCAACACCACAAGGTGGTTGGGAAACATTGGGCTGGACGACGGGATCTGACTTTGCAGGAAAGGGTGCGGTTCCCCCGACTTGCCAATGTCTTGGTTGATAAGAGACCTGGTCAACAGGGGCCTGCAGGTTTCATTGCACCGGCCTTACGTGCTGCAGCGGATTTCTGTGTGGATGCTTGCCCGAAGCGGCGAGCGAAAAACGAAGCGAATCTCGCGTCGGCTCTTTTTGGTCTTCGTTCCTGGCCGAGCATGATCCGCACGAGATCCACCTCGAAGTCCGGAGCGAAAGCCTCCAGGACACCCTGGGCCCACCCTGTCGTTTTGCTGGCGCCGTGGCAGGCTCCCGCTGGCTGCCCTGGCGGCCCGAAACGAGGGACCTCGGCGAGAGACCTCGGGCCGCGGCGCCGACGCACGGCCGGGGACGCCCCGTGGCACCCGCTGCGGCCCGAGGAGCGCGACGGCTGGCCAGTAAGCCGGAGCACACGCGCGGACACGCGGCCAGAATCCCGTGGCCCCACGCAGTACAAGAAGAACAGAAGCACGAACACCTAACCTTTTGGCGCTCCGCGCGGCTTTCTGGGATCCGAGCTGGGCCCCCCTCCCCGGCGCGCGGAGCGCGCCAGGGGCGGCGCCGGAGGCGCCGCCGGGGGGCCCAGGCGCGGATCCAAAAAATCCGCGCGGAGCGCCAAACGTTTCTGTTTGTATGGTTTTTTCTTCGAAGACAGGGGTGACCTTTGGCGCGCGGCTTCGGGGGGCCGCGGGTAGGCCACATCCAAGCGCGCAGGGCAGCGCTGGGGGACCCCTGTGGGCACGCACAGGGCCCTCCGGCGAGGGGTCACCCGTGCGCGACGCCGAAGGGCACGCGGAGGCCGCGCGGGAGACGGACGCGGAGGCACGCGGAGGCCGGCGTACGCACCTGTCCACGCCAGGTGCATCTAGCTCTGGCCCGTGATTGAGGATACATACGTCGCCGTGGCAAAATACGAGGGGGTCTGGAAGCAAGTTGACACTGGGGGTAGATGGAGTGGGTGGAGTAAACATTTCCCCGCGCGGACATGCATCCCGCCCAAGTTTCATGACATGTTGGGCGGGGTACTTTTCGACCCCGTTTTGAGATGGCACAACTCTTGATTCAAGGGTGCACGGATTACTCCGCGGGAGCGCAAGAACCGCCTGTCTAAAATAGGAATCTTCAGAGGCATAGGAGATTCCCACTTCATGCCAAAACGCAGAAACTTTCCGCAGGGCAATGTAAAGGTAATTCATTCTGCAAGGTCGAACCGCTCACGGACCCCAACCGTGGCGAATCCGGAGGAGAGCATTCGGAATCGGCGTATGCATCTCGCGGGACTCACTCTTCGCTATGATGCGCCGTGTTGGTAACGGTACCTTGCCTTTGGTCGGGCATGTCCTCCTACAGGCGGAACACTATTCGAAAGAGCACGGAAGTAATCAAACTTGTCAGAAAGATCATCGAACATGGCCAAACATAGACAGACCATCATCAATAGTCAAAATCGTCTCCAGACTATTCTTAAAACTATGTTTGAATATCCCTCCTGTAGAGGGACATGCCCGATGATCTAAGCCTGGCCTCCTCGGGTTGAGGGGAGCGGATGGTCTTTCCCACGCCGTCTGCTCGCGTTGAAGATCCAATCGCGCCGCCACTGAAAATCGCGAGACTCTGCCTGCTCGGGAAGAAGGAACAAGGAGGAGAACAGGAGAGCAAGAAGGAGAAGGCAGGAGGAGGAGGAGGAGCATAGTGAAGGGGCCCTGGGACACACAAAAAAAACATATATTATCCCAGAGCGACCCTACCTAAGAGGTGGAGCCCCGAGGAGAGCAATGTTAGTAGTAACGGTAAACGCCGTCCTCCTCCTTCTCCTCATCGTCGCAGTTGTAGCAGTAGCGTAGTAGTAGTAGTAGTAGTAGTAGTAGTAGTAGTAGTAGTAGTAGTAGTAGTAGTAGTAGTAGTAGTAGTAGTAGTAGTAGTAGTAGTAGTAGTAGTAGTAGTAGTAGTAGTAGTAGTAGTAGTAGTAGTAGTAGTAGTAGTAGTAGTAGTAGTAGTAGTAGTAGTAGTAGTAGTAGTAGTAGTAGTAGTAGTAGTAGTAGTAGTAGTAGTAGTAGTAGTAGTAGTAGTAGTAGTAGTAGTAGTAGTAGTAGTAGTAGTAGTAGTAGTAGTAGTATAGTAGTAGTAGTAGTAGTAGTAGTAGTAGTAGTAGTAGTAGTAGTAGTAGTAGTAGTAGTAGTAGTAGTAGTAGTAGTAGTAGTAGTAGTAGTAGTAGTAGTAGTAGTAGTAGTAGTAGTAGTAGTAGTAGTAGTAGTAGTAGTAGTAGTAGTAGTAGTAGTACTAGTAGTAGTAGTAGTAGTAGTAGTAGTAGTAGTAGCAGTCGGAGTAGTAGTAGTAGTAGTAGTAGTAGTAGTAATAATCGTAGTAGTAGTAGCAGCAGCAGTAGTAGTAGTAGTAGTAGTAGTCGTAGTAGTAGTAGTAGTACTACTACTACTACTACTAATAACACTACAGCTTAATACCTACATCTACATCTAGACCTACCTCCACATCAACACCTACAGCTTCATGTGCACATGCATCTACATCTACATCTACAGCTACAACTACACTCACGTCTACATCTACATCTACACCTACATCGATGCTATGCTATGCTATGATATGCTGCGCTATGCTATGATATGATGTGCTATGCTATGATATGCTATGCTGCGCTATGCTGTGCTATGCTGCGCTATGCTATGCTACGCTATGCTAGAGTATGTTAGACTGTGCTATGTTATGCTAGGCTATGCGATGCTATGCTATGCTGCGCTATGCTATGATATGCTAAGCTGCGCTATGCTGTGCTGCGATGTGCTAAGCTATGCTATGCTCTGCTATGCTATGCGATGCGATGCTATGTTATGCTGCGCTATGCTATGACATGACACGCTAAGTTATGATGTGCTGCGCTATGCTATACTGCGCTATGCTATGCTATGAAATGCTATGCTACGCTATGATATGCTTTGCTATGCTAATGCTGCGCTGCGCAAAGCTAAGCTGGGCTAAGCAAAGCTAAGCTACGCTAGGCTAAACTAAGCAAAGCTAAACTAGACTAGGCTAAGCCAAGCTAAGCTAAGCTAAGCTGAGCTAAGCTATGTTAAGTTAAGCTAGACTAAGATGAGATAAGCAAAGCTAAGCTAAGGGGGCGCAACTGGGGGAACCGCGGGGCGGATACTGGGGGAACCGCCCGGGGCGCTTTCCACTGCCTGGCCCCTTTAAGCCCAGAGAGTAAGAACCCTTCTAGGCAGAGCCAAGGTAGGGAACAACAGGATTCCCCATATTTTCCCATAAGTTCTGGGTTTTCGTCTTCCCCCCAACTTCCCATATTTCCCCATATTTTCCTGAGAGTCGACGATTAATTTTGTCTGTGTCTTTCCCCTCCTGACATAGGCACTTGGCGCCGTGCGGGGGGGAGGAGGGAGGACGAGAAGGAGGAGGAAGGAGGGCAGAGGTGGCAAGGGGGGGGAGGGCGGGGGCAAAGGGGAGGGAGGCCGGGCCGTCCTCCTCCTCGCCCCCCTCCCCACTCCCCCCGCCCTCCCTCCCTCTCCTTCGGGGGCGGGGGGGAAGAGGAGAAGGAAGGAGGGAAAGATGAGGAGAACAGGCAATGGCGCCGTGCGGATACCCCCTGCGGTCGGGGGAGGGCAAAATGCCCGCGTGGCCCCGCCGGGGCAGCATGCGAGCCCGTGCGATCCCGCCATCCTCTACCTGCTCACCCTAATCGCAGGTCGATCGACTCGCCCCTGGACATGACGCCGTGGAGTCCGCCGACACAGGCGGAGGCACGCTCCCTGCAGGCCACATGGAAGATGGCCCTGGCCCATCAACTCTCGGGCGACTGCCAGGGTGATTCTGGTTACGACATGGCCTCGTCAATGCCAGATTGCTCTCTGGTCTTGTTCTCCCCAGTTGCCTCCTCCCACTGCCTTCCAATAGCTCTGACCCCCAGAGCGCTCGCAACCCCCAGGGCGGGCGGGGGGAAGCTCGCTACCGATCCGCAGTGTCCCAACATGTACTGGCCGCGACAGAGCGAGGAGGAGCAAAATGCGCGGCGGGAGCCTTACTATCGCTCGGACGTCCATTCCCCGTGCATGTTTCGATGTCGTGTGTGTTGTTTTCTCGCAAGATGGTCCAAGATGCTCTTCGATGGTCCTCGCCGAAAATAAAATACCCATGTCCGGGCGACACCAGGGGGCAGGAGCAGCGGGACGGGGTGGAGGAGGGGGAGGGGGAGGAGGAGGAGGAGGAGGAGGAGAGGGAGGAGAAGGACGAGGAGGAGGAGGACGAGGATGAGAAGGAAGAGGTGGAGGAGGAGGAGGACGAGGAGGAGGCCCTGCCCCACAGCCAGGTCGCGCGGACGCTGCGGCGACGGGCCTCCGCCAGGGCGTGCGCGGCGGCGTTGCCGAGGTAGTTGCTCCTGGGCGGGCGGGTGGCGGTGGGGCGCTCCTCTTGCGGGGGAGGCCCGCGTCCGCGCACGCGGCGCGGCGGCGGCGGCGCTCCCGCCTGGCGCAGAGCTGCTCCGAAGAGGCCCATCGGTCCCACGCTGCCAGGCTAGCAACGAGAGGCCGTGCGAGGTCCGCGCGGCGCGCGGTCCCACGGCGGCAGGGCCTTCGACCGCGCATGGAGGGCGGCAGCGGCAGCGGGGCCGCGCGAGAGCGGGCGAAATGCCGACCTGGCCGAAGCGCCGCGCAGCTTGGGAATGACAGTGGTATGGCTGTGTCAGCGCGCCCCCCCACCCGGGGCGAATACAATGCGAATACCACTCTCCACGTTCCCGGATGCCGCGCTGGACCTGGGGAGCCCGATATGATACATGCTGTCTTCTTGCACACAAGATGCTCCCGATCTGCTGCTGGCAAACGGTGATCTGGCTAGTGCGTTCACCAGATGATCAACGAAAAGCTCCGTCCAACGGAGTAACGCTGTCGCCGCATTGGTGGCAGCGGTGGTTGTACCCACAAGCTGAATCATAACGATTGCTGCCTTCGAGAATGTATGATCTCGCTGGTGCCTTTATCGGTTGCATGATTATGTTCACCAGGGAGCGTCCGTCGAACGAAACGACGCTGTCCCTGCAGCTGTGGCAATGGCAATCGTGTTTTCACTGTCGAAAAACATAATCCCGCTACGGAATGTGTCAGATGTCTGTATTTCGGCGGCGAGCGAGGGGGGAAGTGAGGCGAAGAAAGCATTCTCAGCAGGCGGCGAGACTTCTCATAAACCCTCCGGCCTTCTGCGACGTGTTCTGTCTTCGGAGAAGGCTTAGAGCACTTCTCAAAGGTCGGGGGCATAGCCTTCTGAGAAGGCCCGCCCCTTTTCACTTCCCTTAGCCCGGGCATGTCCCCCTACAGGCGGGTTTTGGAGGACAAATTCAGAATAGTCAAAACAGATTCGAACAAAGATCAAAATACTAGCAGAATCGTCCCCATACTATTTGTCAGCTACTTTTATTCCTCCTGTAGGGACAGGCCCACCATTTCACTTCCCCCCTTCGCTCGCCGACGAGAATTCACGTCGGTCTCCAGTGGAGCGGTGCTCTTGCTGCATCGCTGACCCACGGAGCGGCGCTCTCTCGTCGCGGCGGTGCTCCCGCACGGGAGCTGTGTCTCCCCAAATGGATGTCTCTTGCGCGCCGTGCTCTGTCCTGAATGAAATCCGGTGTCGGGAGAGACTGTGGGGATCAAATATTGAAGGGGAAGAAGAAGAAGGCGAAACGCCGTAAACATTAACTCTTGGCGCTCCGCGCGGACTTCTTGGATCCGCGCCAGGCCCCCTCTGGCGGCGCCTCCAGCGCCGCCACTGGCGCGCTGCGCGCGCCAGGGAGAGCCAGCGTGGATCCCAGAAATCTGCGCGGAGCGCCGAAAGTTTACAGTATGTTTATGGCAAGTTCTCTTCTTCGAGATGTTCCAGACACCTGGCTCTTCGAAAACAAAGAGGGTGGAAGGGAGGGGCATCAAATATGGCGCGAGCGAACCTAGCTTGCCCCCATCCGTTCTCCCTCTCCCTCTCCCTCTACCTCCTAATCTCCCTGTGCCTCCCCCTCCCCCTCCTCTCCTCTCATTACTCCCCTGTTCGACAAGGGCCTCTGACCCTCACCTGATGGCAAAGCAAAGCCCGCCCATCCCTTGTCTGTTAGATAGGCAAGCTTCGAGATGTGTTTTCATGGTTCGACGACCGCATAACCCGGAGAAGCAATTAAGGAACCCCCCGGCGTTATCATTAGCACCGCGCCATAATTAGATAATTATTTGGGGGGGTTTTCGCCGAGCGATATTATTAGCACCGCGCAAATGGAAGGAAAACAAATAATTCCAGCGCCCCGCCTCGGGTGGCATCCCAATTAGAATGTGCGATCTGGTGTACCCCCTCCTGGTGCCAGGATAACGCTTCCGGGTGCCGGGTGCGTTATCCTTTCACCGGAGAGGGGGGGGGGGGTCCTTAATCGCTTACTCGGGTTATTCGGGCCAGTATGGAACCAACGGCCATAATGCACTGTGGACCGAATAGCCCCACAGCCACTGTTGGCCGGGCTCTGGGGCCTGCCAGCACAGCACTTTGGCCCCTGCTGCTCGGAGGTCCGGCGACGGCTGCAGCCGGAGGTCCATGCAAGAAAGGAGCAACCGTCACGCAGCCACGCGCACATGCCACGCCTCGTGTGACGAGGGGGGGGGGGCACCCGTTGCTGCACCATGGCCGAAGTCGCGGAGGAGGAGGAGGAGGAGGAGGAGGAGGAGGAGGAGGAGGACGGATGGCCTGCCCAGCTGCCACACGGGCCGGTCCAGGGCGCCCCCTTGCGACAGGAGGGGCAGCGGCAGGCCGGCCCACGTGCTGCCCGCGGGTGCAGAGCCCCCGAAGCCGGGGCGCCGTCACGCCAGGCTTGCCAACAGCGCAGTGTCAACAGCGCAGTGTCAACAGCGCAGTGTCAATTCACTCATTTGACGCAGTGTCAACAGCGCAGTGTCAATTCACCGTTAAGAGCTCCCTTTATTCCCCGTGCATGCGTCGGTTTCGTGCGTGCGTTTTCTTCGCAAGATGACCTCAACTGCTCCCCGATGGTCCTTCCCGGCCACACATTCAGACGTCCGAGCGATGCCACTCAGGCGGCCAACCAGGAATTGCGGTGCCCGGACCTCGTATCATGCGTCCGCAGCTCGGCCTGCCATCTTGGGCGACGGCCCACGGCCATCTCCCGAAACGAAGGCCGCCTTCCACCTGCGAGCTGAAGGCCCCTTCCGCAACAGCCAGCAACAGTGCAGGAGGCGAAGGATGGGGGGAAAAGTAGAAGGGAGGGGGCAAAGGCGGGTGAGTAAAGAGGGAGGAGGAGGGGCGGGAGAACGCGGGGAAGGGAAGGAGGGATGCGCCGAAGGGAGAAGGGACAGAGTCCTCAGGGTGAGATGCTCGAGAAAAGATGCGTCGCCACTGTGCTCCAGCAATGCGTCAACCTGCACTCCACAGTATTACTTCCCTTGTCCCCTTACCGATACAAAGTTCCACTGACTGAGTCCCCCCATCGTCAGAGGAGAACTTCTTCCCAGCTGCTGACCCACTCCTGCTAATTCAGCCACCATGGTTGCACGTTAGCAAAGTGTTCGAATCATGTTCATTTTCTAGACAACTCTCCCCTCAAGCGCGCGCATCCTCCGACAAGACAAATCCCACCTCGTCATTTGTCTCTCTAGAGCCCCTCTCGTGCTACAGCAGACAAAGGACAACGGCCAACGACAGATCGAAGACAATTGTTGCAAGATGCCCAAGGACCAGCCCAAGACAACCCAGCGACTTCATAGCGGCTCCAAGATGCCCACCACATGCCCCAAGGTCCCAGGAAGCCCCCTATACACGCCCAACGAGGACTCCAGCGAGGCCCCCAGACCGCCACACGCAATGAATCACAAGCAATGAATTGCCAGGGGGGGACTGTTTCGTTCTCCTTCTGGACGTTTCGGCTGCAGGCTGCGTGGAGGACGCTTTATCAGAGAGCCCCAAGAACTCCCCCGGAACGTCCCAAAATGGCCCAAGAGAGCACCACTACGCCACCAGGACCCGCCCCGTCGCCACCGCGATTGTTCCAACGAGCTTCTTCAGGAGAGCTCGGTGGAACCACCGCGCCAAAGACGGCCCCGAGACGACCTCTCAGGCCTTCAGCGGGCCCACGATAGGAAGAGCTTGAAACTTTGCCGCTCGCGCTTGACCTCCTTACAGGCGTGCTGGTCACAGGTGCTGCTGCTGGCCCGCTCTCCTCTGCTGGCGTTCGAGCTGCTGCTTTCGGTTGACACTGCGGTGGCTGGATCAGGCTCGTCGTCGTCGTCGCCGTCGTCCCTTCCTGGTTGTCGTTGTCATCCTCGTCGTCGTCGTCGTCGTCGTCGTCCTCGTCGTCGTTCTCGTTGTCGTCGTCGTCCACCCTTCCTGGCCGTCGTTGTCATCCTCGTCGTCTTCGCCCTCGTCGTCGTTCTCGTTGTCGTCGTCGTTGTCGTCGTCGTCGTCGTCGTCGTCGTCGTCTACGTCATCATCAACGTGTGTAGGTCCTGCTACGGCCGCTTGCTCACGACCCGCCCCAAGCAGCGGCTTGCCATAATGCCTCTGGCTCTACCTCCTTGCTGGTGGTGCATTGCGACCCTCGTGTGTGCTTCGCCTGAGGAATTACAACTGGAGTTGACTCTGAACTCTCACTTCGGACGAATGATGGTTGTGGAGTCGCCCTCCAGGTCCCATCTGGGTTTTCAAGTTACGTGGCACTCACGGGGCTTACACCTCGATTTGTACAAGGGGACGTTCTGATTTTCACAACTGAAGTTTTGCCCTCCGAGCTGCTGCGACAACGGTTCCCGCCTGACACTTGCTTGCAATTTTCCCAGGACTGTGCTTGTACTGATGGGGGTCTGACATGTTTGTCTGACAGAGCTGGGCCTGTCTGGTGGTCCGGTAGCTCCGTGGTCGCCGTCGCCGCTGCGTCGCCCAGTCGCCGGCCATCGTCTGGGCTCGCCTGGCGGTCTGGCAGCTCCGTGATCGCCGCCGCCGCCCCGTCGCCGCCTCGTCGCCGCCTGTCGTCTGGGTCTGTCTGGCGGTCTGGCGGCTCCGTGGTCGCCATCGCTGCCCCGTCGCCACCTCGTCGCCGCCCGTGGTTTGGACTTAATTGGCGGTCGGGCGGCTCAGTGGTCGCCGTCGTCGCTGCGACGCCGCCCCTTTCACATGTATAAGCTTTATCCCCCTTTGAAGCTAGTATCGCCTCCCCCTGTACCCCTGTCAACTAATACCATGCGCACTATTATCAAAATCCATTGATCTTCAAAAACCAAGTGGGCTACCATACGGAACAATCCGCACGCGGGCGCCGTCGCGCGCGTATGTATGAATCCGTCCCGAAACTTCTGATTCACACGGATTTCGAGATCGAGGTGTCCGGAGACATAGGCACACTTGTTCCCCGACAGTACTTTTCAAATCAAGTCTGCGCGCGCGTTCTTGCGAATTCGTCTGCAAACAACTGTCGTTGTGTTACTCAGCATTTCCACCAAATGAAACCACGCCGGCCTCTCGCGCGCGCATGTCGACATCGCTCTAATGCCCTTGCGCGTTTGCTGGCACCAGGCGGGGGGGCACGATCCATGCCAAATGATATCGTGCGGGCCACTCGCGCGCGTCGGCCGCGCGCGCATGTCGAAATCCGTCCAAAACATTCGTGTTCGACACATTGAGCATGAACATCATCATCGCCATCGGCGTGACCAACATCGGCACCGTCATTCACATTGCCGTCGTAATCGTCTCCATCGCAAACATCGTTACTATGATCATCGCTTCGGCCGTCTTCGGCGTCACAATGATACCGCGCTCGCCCGAGTCACCAACCTGGAAACTTCATTTCAGTCAGCGCCACAGCAGCCGCGCCGGCTGTGCCAAACTAGCTGGCCGCTCTATGCCCGATCTTGCGCTCGCTAACGCGGGCGTGGGAATGCACGACCCACTGCCGACACTCATCGCAATCGCCGTTGCGTGGCTTTCAGAAGGCAAGTTGCGGGTGGAAGGGTGGGGTGACTGGACAAACAATGGAACTGCCCACTTTCACTTCAGCGAAATGGATTTGATAACATATATTTTCTATAAAAAAACGACCACCCTCCTCCCCTGGGGTTACACCCCCCCCCGGGAACCCATGTAACACACATAGGATTCGGACCTAATGTCCATCGTGCCTGTGAATTCACAACATTCCAGCCGAACCAATATCGCCCCCCCGCCATCCTTTGCTAAAAAAACTATGTGCGCGCACTCGTTTACCACTAATTATAAATTTCCCATCCCTTACACAAAAAAACGAAATGCACATGCGCGCGTCGTCGCGCGTGCACGCCGGAAACCTTCAAAACCTGTGGTGTCGGAGGAATTCCACATCGAGTGGCCAACAAAAACTAAAAACAACACAATGTTTCGCAACCGCAGGTTTTCAAACAAAAAAACATGCGCGCGCTCTTGCGAACTCTTTAGAAAACCATCGGTGTTTCAACGTTTTTCTGAAAATGCTGCCAGACGGGATCCGCGCGCGCATGTCGAAATCGTTCGAACGACCTGGCGCGCGTGCTGGGGTGGCACGGTCCGTGTCAAATATTATCATGCGTGCCACTCTCGCGCGTCTGCAGCGCGCGCATGTCGAATTCCTTTCAAAACCTTCATCGCCGACGCGAAAACGCCGTCACCGTCGCCGGCGTGATCGGCATCGGCGCCGTCACTGGCCGTGCCGTCGTCGCTGTCAGCATCGTCACCAGCATCGCTACTATCGTCATCATCGTATCTACAAGTGTCGACGTTGCCATGATACCGCGCCCGCCCATGTCGCCGACTCGCACTCAAGTGTCCGTCTGGATGTGCCGAGCGGTCAGCCCCACCGCGGCCACGTCGGTCGCGCCAAACTACCTGGCCGCTGCGTGCGCGCATGCGCGGGCTGGCGCGGCCGCAGACATGCACCAGCCACCGCCAAGCACTCATCGCAATCGCCGCCGCATGAGGTTTGCAAACCGAGTTGCGGGTGGGTGGGTGGGATGTTTGCGCGAGGAGTGGAGTGGACAACTCACTGCAAACTGAAAAAAATGCACCACATAGAATGCACCCTCCGCCAAGCAGCTCTGAATGACATAGCCTGCACCACATGGCTTGCACTACATATATTGCAGCACGTAGAGAAGACACCATAGACTGCACCACAACGGTTGGGCAACACCAGTTGCACAACGTAAATTGCACCGCGTGCATCTCACATGTCATAATGCTAAACATATATTAGACAATCTATAATGTACCACAGAGCTTGCCCAACATAGGTTCCAACACGTAGATTGCTCAACATCAAGCGCACCGCACATATCGCACTACGTGGATCGCCCCACGACTGGTGCAAAACATACACTGCCCCACGTAGAAAGTCCCGCACATATAGCTGTAGACACATTGGTCGTGGTCCACGCTGGATAACAGATTGAGACATCGCGCTCCCGCTCCAGACGCGCTGACACTTGACCCAGAAATCGCACTCTCGCGTCGAACGTTCTTGTTGATTCATGCGCCGCGTCCTCCGCACTCCTTAATCACGCTCTTGCCCAATACTTTTTGACGTTTGCTCAAGACGGTCCTCTGCGATGTGTTCAGGGAGCGTGCTCTCGCTCGAGACTTCGTTGCAACTTACCCAACCGCAACGCACGTCCTCGCAACTTACCCACGAATCACGCTCTCGACTAAAATTCCACTGCGTCCTACTCAAGATTGAAAGGCCAACCCGCCCGACCGGCCCGCCCGCCCGGCTCGCCTGCTGGGACCCGCAATCGCCACTCGCTGCCGCTGTCATGCCCCCCGTCCGACCCGCCCGTTAGGCTCCGTCCGCCCACCCCGCCTGCCCGACCCGCCCGCAAGGGTTCGTTTCATGCTTTTTCTGCTCCAAATCTCTGAGCCCCTTCCTCCTAGTCTCTTCCGTCTTCCATCCTTCTCCCTCCCCCTTGTCCCTTCCCTCCTCCCTCCCTTCTGCCATTCCTTCCCGCCTCGCTCTTGCCCTGCTTCCCTTCTCCCCCTTCCTGTTTTCAAGGCTGCGCCAACTCCGCGTGGCAGGAAATATACCCTCAAAAGGGGGCACGTTCGAAGACGAAGAGGGCGGGATTCGAGGGTTTGGGTATGCCTGTTGGTTGACACGCGTGCATATGAGAGCGAGCAATCGCAAAATTAGCGTCATTGCTGGGGAGACCAAAAAATACCGATACCGCCTACTCCCCGGACCTCTCCAGGGGCGCGTTCTGACCAGGATTTCGCGGCGAACTCAGCAGTGGCGACGAGGCCTCCCAGGAGGCCCCCACAAGGCAAGGGTAGCGGTACGGATAACTTTCCTCATCTGGAACTGATGTCGTCGCGGTGGTACCCGTAACGGTTGCCACAGATCCGACGCCGCGCCGCGCCACACAGATGACGACTCGCCTTTGAGCTGCTCGCAACCTCGGGAGCACCAAGCGGCCACAACCACATCGAGGACACACCCTGGGGGATGCCAACTTCGTACTCTTTGTGGCCGCCGGGGCGTCCCAGGACGGCCACATCGAGGGCGGCGGATTCTCCCCCGAGGGGCCCTTCCGAACAATCCACTCGATTGTCTTGTCGCAATTGGCCGTGCTGCCTCTGGGCGTCCGTCTCGCAGTCTGATCTGGCCTCGGCTGGGCGGAACAGATGGCCGCCATCGCGCTGCCCCATCGTGCGGATGCTCTCGCGCTGGGCAGGTATGCCGTGCCTCCATGGGCGACGGTCAAATTTCAGGTCGTGCCTCGCTGGGCGTGCCTCACTGGTCGTGTCTGCGTTTCCACGTTGTCGCCAGCATGCTGCCCGTGCCAGGCAAGAAACGGGCATTTCAAACTTGGCTGGCCACGAGGGGCAATCAGACTTCAACAAGACAAGAGGGCCGCGAGAAACCACGTAAAAAACAAGCGGGGATGGGTAGACGAATACGGAAGGAGAGGGGAATTGCAGAACCGCGCTAGTTCCGCTGGCCGTCAACTGGACTCCCTGTCGTTTGAACCATGTGCAATTCTGCATTACGTAAATCTGCCTCGTCACGTGGCACTGTGCTCACAGTATGGTGAGCGAGGTGGGCAGGGAGAGATGGAGGAGGGCGGAGGGGAGAGGAGGGACGACGAGAAGCCGGAGGAAAACGAGGAGGAAAGTGACGATGATGAGGGGGAGGAGGAGTAGCATAAGGAGGCATTCGCTACACGCACAGGCTTCCCCATTTGCCCCTCCAGGAGCACGCAGTGGTCGTCCCGCAGCAAGTTGTATGACAAATCCAATGTCCTTCCCACGAATTTGTCTTGTAAGCCTGCCTGCATTTTGGACTTACGCCCCGTTAACAGACGTTCGCTCGCCGAGTGTCCTCATCTTCCTGATCCCCCCTAGCTGAAAATATGTAGACTCCTTGGAATCCAACCGTGCGTAAGTGGAACGAGGGAGAACACAACAAATGCCAGCAAAACCAATCAGATGCCACACAGGTGGAGCTATATGAGATCCCTCGACACTGGGAAAAGCAATGAACATGTAATAGAATCCTCTGCGGTACCCAGAAGCAACTATCGCATCGAGATTTGCTGACGCCCCCTTGACTCCACCAGTAATCAGGGAGCCCCCTTTAGCCATAGTCCCGAACACCTACTGGACACCCAGGCGAACAGGCGAACTCTGCCCCCGAATGCACTGCAACACGCTTGCCTTTCTCCCATGGGGCCTTCACCGGCGCCCCCTCTCCCCGCACCAATTCTGTCATTCTTGCGTCATCGTCCCTCGTCGGCGGTGGACAAACCTCCCTTTAATTAACCTCCCTTTAATGAAAGCGGCCTGGGACCGAAACTGGCGGACCTGGACCCGCAAGAATGACGGCCGCGACGCCCTCTCGCGAACCGAAAACGGCCAATTCGCTAATCGACGTGTCAGGGTAGGAGGTCTGTCCAACCCCGATCGTCCCTAGTTGGAGGACAACACGTTTTGCGCTGCAAGGGCTTTTCAGGCTTGTGCGCGAACACCACTCGAACAAAGCAGAGTAGAGCGAGATCGTGTGCGAACGGGCAGGGCCCGGGACGAAAGCAGCATGATGACCACGTTTTGCCTACGCACGCTACGAACTGCGCAACGCATGTGAGGAACAGGCCGGACAAGAAGAACAAATCTGATATCGTACGCCAATCTCTTCCTTCCGTCAGGGAATCCCGACTGGCCTGCCACAGCTCAGCGACAGTGGCCAGAATATCGACCCAGATCGAGTCTTCCATCTGCTGGTGATGGTCTTGCGCTTCCTCCTTCTCTACCGCATTCGTGCGATCGGGCATTGCCAGGGCACGTACAACAGTATATGAGGATTCAGAACTGGAACTGGCGATATTCGTTAGAAGATGCCTTTTCTTGTTCAGCGTTTCAGTCCGCGCGAGACTTCAACACAAGTCCAGACCAACAACAAAAACATCACTTCTGACTGGGCCGCAATGTGCCATCCCTGCTCCCATGTATGTCCTCAAGCGTGGAGGCAGTGCGCTGAAGAGCGGCTGGAGTGGCTGCTCCCGCCTGAAACTACCTGGCCGCGACCGCACTTCCGCTCCCGGACCGCTCGCGCCGATGCTTTAATACCGCTGCGACGTGTCAGGTCGAGTGCGTTCGGGTACCATTCAGGGAGGTCCAGCGGAGAATCCACACGTGGCATGTTACATCACACGATGTCACAAAGCGCCTGCCATTCAGATTCGCTGCGCGAGACACAGCATGTGTCAGGCGCTGGCTCGGGCGAGGAAGTGTGTAATCCACGAATGATGGCAAGAAAACCACGAAACACCGGCGGCGACAACGGGAAAACCAAGCGGGCCTATGGAAGCGCGACGACATCCACAAGAGACGAAAACCGTCGACCCTGCCGGCGTGCGTGAGCCCTTCCGTTTGAGTGGTCGTCGTCGTCGTCGTCGTCGTCGGCGTCGTCGTCGTCGATCCCCCCAGGGGGTGGGGCACCCCTTCCGTTTGATCCCCCCAGGGGGTGGGGCGGGGGGGAGAGACCACGGAGGGGGTGGGGGCGGCGGGGCCCGGGGGGTTGTGACCCCCCCCTGGGGAGAGCACCCCTCCCTGGGAGAAGCTTTTCGATTCCATTGCTCGCCTCCTGTACGCCTCGAACGTACCTGTACCGCGGTTTGCTTCAAGAGGGCCCCGAGAAACATCACAAGGTCGCTCTGAGACCGCCCAGGATATACCTTCAAGACGGCCTCAGAAACCCCCAAGAAGCCCCAAGAGACGCCCCAAGAGAGCTCCCAGGGGAGCCCCAAGAGGGCCCCAAGAGGTGACAATTATTGATTTTCATGTACGTAGTTGTTCCAAGTGTTTCGCGTCCTCGCCTTCGAGCCCCGAAAATCGAATCACGACGGCTCAAAAGACTGCCGAAAATGCTCCCAGACAGCCCAAGACGGTCCAAAGACGGCCCAATACAGCCCAAAGACGGCTTAGGATGCCCCCCCCAACTGGCTCTCTTCCCCAGAAAGGCCCCAAAAGACCCCCGAAGAGGGAGAACGCCAACCGACAGCTCGAGCCTTCCACCGCAAGAGGTTCACCGGGAGGCCGCAAGAGGCGCCACAGAAGCCCAGAAGAGGCCCCCCAAAGGCCCAAGAGAGCCCTGAGAACACCCCAAGAGAACACCAAGTTGCCGTCGTCTACGTCGTCTACGTCGTCGTCGTCGTCGTCGTCGTCGTCGTCGTCGTCGTCATCATCGTCTTGTCGTCGTCGTCGTCGTCCCCTTTCAGGGTCGGCAGCACCGGCTGTGAGGCCTTCGCAATAGGGGGCAGACACCAGCTAGATAACCCTCGAGGGCAAGCGTGCCCAGTCACATCGCATCGAAGGGTGGGGCACGCTGCCTGAGCTCCTCATGTGGAGGGCGAGGGCTGGCAAATCCGTGGCTGCTAAAACGGTCTCCGCGGAAAGAAAAAAACAAATGCCCGGAATACATCTCAACGCACCGAATAGAAAACGGGCTGCTTCTAGGAAGAACAGACAATTTCCCTGAACTCCTCAGTAGCAGCCACGGGTTTGCCAGCCTTCGCCAGGCTTCTGATAGGAACAGAAAATGGCGATACTTCAGATGCAATGCAGCAAACAAGAGCAGCTCGGAGAGGCAAAGAAGGGAGGGCAACAGCAACGCACATGGACAGGGTAGAGGCCGGCGAGCACATGTCACGTCGCAAACAAGGTAAACAACGCCGAGAGCCTCGCGTATCAACAGCAAGGTGGTTGTGAGCCAGGTCCTCGCAAGAGCCCACAAGAACGTCATGTTCAGCAGTGCGCACTCAGATTGCAACATCGGCAGAGCTGAACGTTTTCATGCGAAGAGCTATATACGCCAGATGAATTCACAGCCCAGATCTTCTGGTCCAGGGCGCATGTAAGATCTGTTGAGATTTGGTGCACAGGGCCCGCATAGGAAGGCAGACTGTCGTCCGAATGGATTGCATTTTGTGGGCCTCGGGCGACCAAAGGCCATGAAATTTGGAATGCTGTATCTCTCCATTGCAAACTGGCACGCCAAGTTTGTCTGCCCCGAGGAAGACCAGGCCCAAACTCTGGCGAGCGCTGGTATCTTGCAGCAGCGAAGCTACAGTAGGAGCTCGACCACAAGAAACCTTCCACAAGAAACCCAACCATGAGACCCCAGGAAGTCCAGCGATTTTTCGTGTGGGATCGTTACGCTTCCCATAGCAGCACCATCGAAACCCCAGAAACCCAGGGCACCCTGGAGGCAAGCAAGAAGAGGTGATTTTGGAAGAGGAAAGACAGACATCGTTAGACCACCTGTCGCCCAGAGGGCTGACTCTTGAGAAGCTTAATTCGGCATCAGCGCTGGTAGATCCGTGGTCGACAACACCCCAAACCTGGCATACGTAGCCTTGTCTTCTGTTGCTGAATCCCGCCGATGCGGCTTCATCCCCTGGCCCAATGGGATGTGTTTCCACTGCAGTTCTTCCTCATCGCGCCACGACTGCATCGAGAGCAACGGGCCCCCCCAGCCACAGCATGTGAGCCGCATGCCGTCCCACGCATTCGCTCATCAGCTGACCGTCCATACCTGGTGATCACTGCCGCCTTCATGACTCGCTCCGTTGACAAGTGGCGATGGCAACACATACATCGGAACACTCAATCCGACTGACTCGACTGGGGCACCTAAGACAACAACTATACGCACCAACCTATCTTGGACAGGCACCAAGTCTGGGGTGCGGCATGCTGTGAGTCACCATGCAATCGCCAGAGCACCTTGACCAGAAGGGGCGGTCGAGTAAGACGCACGGCAATTGATTGTCACTGTGCCATTCACACCGAATCAGCCTGGCACAGTGGACAATGGCATCTCGCTACCCCTCCTAGAGAGGACGCGTGGACCACACAACATATGCAAACGAAAGAGACTGCACAGCACTGCCCTAGAAGAAAATGGGAAGACACAGACCGAGTCGCAGATTTACGGAGGACATGAACAATGCGCAGAGTGCCGGCCAGAAGAGTCAAAGAAGAACCAGGGGCGCCACGCCAGCAACGCCGCGAGCCAACGACACCAGGATTAGAGACACAAAAAGGCGACACAACATAAACGTTCGGAAATGCGCGCGGATTTCGTTGGATCTGCGCTGGGCCCGGCGCCGATCCAAGACATTAGCGCGGAACTCTGGAAATCAATGCTTGTGCTGCAGTATTCAATCCTCCCATACAATCCTCGTGGCCACGGCTTGGCGGCCAGGACGGACCCGGGAGGAGTCCGACCCTGCGCGTCGTCGCCGTTGTGGCTTGTGCATGATTCTGGGCGATTCTGGATCACTCAGTTCTTCGAGCCACACCAGCGGGGACCCGCGAGCCAACGACACCAGGATGAGACGTCGGGCCGCGCGCGCCGCACGGCTGCACAGTTCGTCGGGCCCACCTGGACACTGGTCGATGAGGGCCGAACCTGAACGCTGTTTGTCTTCACTCGTCGACGAGGGCTGAACCTAGATGCTGTTAGTTTTCCCTCGTCGATGAGGGCTGAACCTAGACGCTGTTTGTTTTACCTCGTCGATGAGGGCTGAACCTAGATGCTGTTAGTTTTCCCTCGTCGATGAGGGCTGAACCTAAACGCTGTTTGTTTTCCCTCGTCGATGAGGGCTGAACCTAGACGCTGTTGGTTTTCCCTCGTCGACGAGGGCTGAACCTAAGCGCTGTTTGCTTTCCCTCGTCGACGAGGGCAGGTCCCGCGCACCTCCGCACGCCGTGCGCCCAGCCTCGGCCGCACGGGGACCGCAGCGCGCTCGGTGCCGACACCTCTGGGGACCCCCGGTGCGCATGGCACTGCGGTCAGAAACGCCTGCTTCGCGTTTCGCCGCGGCGTCCTCCACTTCGGTGTGGCTGGCGCCCAGGTGCGTTCGCCTCCATGCGGAGCGTTTTGCTCAGTGCATGTGCACACCTCGCATTCTTTGCGAATCAGCCTCGTGCCGTGACCCGGACGCCGCTTCCGCGCCCTGTCCGTTGCCTCGGAGCCGCCGACCACCAAAAAAGTGTCGCCGCGGCGGCCCTGGCAGCACGCTATGCCCTACGAGCGGACAGCGTGCCGCTCCGCTCCGCGGGGCGGGAGGCCAGGAACAGCTCGGGACGTCGACGTCGGTGCTCGGGGGGCGGGAAGTGGACGGCGTGTCGTGCCGAAGCATGCTTGGCCAGAACCGGCGACGCGACACGCCAACCAACAGTTACCGACCGTAGAGGGGCAACAAACAGCAAGATCATGCGCTTTCGAAGGTACGCGCGGACTTCTCGCATCGGCGCCGGACCGCCCTCCCTGGCGCGCGGGGCGCACCAAGGAGGGTGCTGGAACAGCCGCTGGGGGTGTCCAGCGCCGACCTCGAAGAGGCATCCGGAACTGTCGATCTTTGTGCTGTTTTTGCTCTGCTTCGGGGCATGAAGGTGGGACAGACATACGTGTAAAGTATTTGCTTGACACACGTCGCAACACGATGATCATCAATCACGTGTTTTGGCGTCATGGCCTCGCCATCAATCGCATACACGCGCACACACCGTTAGCAACATGCCTCCCTGACCGTCCCCGTGCGATCTTCCCCCCGCCCGCCTGCTTCTCTCTCCTCCACCTCTTCCGCATCCTGCTCCCCCTCCTGACGCATCTCGCACCACCACCACCTTCTCCTCCTCCTCCTCCTCATCCTCCTCCTCCTCCTCCTCCTCCTCCTCCTTCTCCTCCTCCTCATCCCTCCTCCCCCTCCTCTTCCCCTTCCTCTGGACCTTCCCCTCGCGGTCCAGCACGGCAAGCCTGGACAGCCCAGTCAAGACCGCCGCGAGGGGCGCTCCTCCCCGATTGCCCCGGTCGGTGCGCCCCCCCCCCGATGCTTCGCGCGGGCGGGGGCGCTGCAAGGCAGGCCCCGCGCACACCACCGACCGCGGCCGGAGCACCTCGGCGCACTGAGTCTGGCCGTGCAGCCCGAAACTCGGCGAGCGGCGGTAGAGGAAAAAACGCCATAAACATAAACTGTTGGCGCTCCGCGAGGATTCCTTGGATCTACGCTGGACCCCCCCCCCCCCGCGCAGATCCAAGAAATCCGCGCGGAGCGCCAAAAGTTTATGTTTATGGCGTTTCTCCCTCTTCAAGGTAGTGGGTCCTCTTTCGAGCTCTGCGCTCCAGGCCTCCAGATGAGTATCCTTCCACCGATGCCCATCCCCACCAGCGTGGGCTGGGCCCCACTGGCCGATTTACCCCCCTAGATGGGGATATAGGCCGTATCCTTCGGGTTTCGAGGGGTGAATCCCCGACTGGGGCTGTAATTTGGCGGGGATCTCGAAGGGGATGAGCATGGGGATGGGGATCGGTTAAACGATACTGACCAGATCCCCCCTCAACCCTCAAGGGGGCAAGGATGCTCGTCGCCGCGGAAGGGGGGAAGCGCCGAGCAAGCCTGGACTCCTCCATCTGAGCTGCCCGAGCACAGGCCACGGGAGGAGCGAGAAGGAGAAGGCTTGCTCAGAAGGCGGCGGGGCTTCTCGGAAGGCCTTCTTGCTGCCGGCCTGCGGGGAAGGCGAAGAGACCTCTTCTCGGGCGGCCGTGGGCCTTCGGAGCCTTCTGAGGAGGCCCACCCCTTCTCACCTGCCCCCCTGGGCTCGCCGCCGAGAAACGATCGGGGAGCTGCGCGCACGTCGGTGGCCACTCACGGGGGTCTCGCATACCATCCAGCTGGCTCTGGCGAGTCGGCGCCAACCAGCGATAGTCGAATCAAATCCACGCTCATCGACGCTAGCCCGACGCTCGCCGACGAGATGTCCGCGCTTTGTCATCGATCATCAAGCGCTAGCGCGCGCGAGTGCGCTCAAAAATGAAAGCACGGCCAGACCTACGACAGAATCACACCCTGCAAAAGCATGAAACCCTCCGCCAGCCAATTCAAAGAACACTCGAGGGTATACCCTCCATCATGATGCACAAGAACATCCAACAAACGCGAAGAGCATCAGTGCATCCTCCCTGCACAGACCTCGATCGAATACTTCGGTCCGACTGCACTCCGGCGCAAACACCCCACATGAGAATACTCTGAACTACCGTGGCAGTGCACTGCGTCGTCTTCCTTGTGATGGCGGGGGCCTCTTCCCGTCCCCTCATCGCCCTTCCCCTGCTTGGGCCCTGGCGGAGGCCCACCCCCTGCTTGGCCTCTGCCTCGTCCTTCTGCTTCTTCCCCCCCTTCCGCCACCACCCCCCTTCCTCTGCAAAGGCATGCGTGCCGATTTTCACTGGCGCCGTCGCCGCTTCTGTCCGCAAGGGCGCGTGCTCCGACGGCCAGATCGCGAAACCGTCGGGGCAACCCCGCCGGCCGCTGGCGCGCGAGACCAAATCGTGGACAACCCCGCGTTCAGGCGGGGGGCAGCGCGAAACCGAGCTCAGCGGCAAGCTGAAGGCGCAAACTAACCAGACCGTGCGCACAATGCTGTGGGCGGTAGCGTGGACAGCTTGGAAATCAATTGATCCTGCCGCGGGCAATGCCTTGGCTTCAATTGCCCACACTGAGTTCAGGGCAATGAACCTTTTCAAGCTCGCCGCCCACCACAAAGACTCGCTGGAAAGTGAACCTTTTGTCTCGGCGGTGGACAAACCTCCCTTTAGTAAACCTCCCCCCGGTGAAAACGGCCTGGGACCGACACCGACGGACCTGGACTCGCAAAAATGACGGCCGCGACGCCCTCTCGCGAGCCGAAAACGGCCAATTCGCTGATCGACGTGTCAGGGCAGGAGGTCTCTCCACCTCCGACGTTCGAGCTCGCCGCCCTCCCCAAAGACCCGCTGGAAAAGGCACCTTTTTTGGCCCCAACGGGCTCCACTGGCGCCTCGACGGGCCCCCCGAGCAGTCCCAGCGGGCCTCGGCCGGCCCCCCCGAGCAGTCCGGGGCAGTCTCAGCACCTCGGCCCCCGAGGGCGCCCCAAAAGGGAGGCCGCCAGAGGCGGCGCCAGGTGTTGAGACCGTCCTGGACTGGGGGCCCAAAGATGTACACCACCACCACCTCCCTCCCCCCCTCCCTCGCGCTGGACAGAGGAGAGAGGAGGAACCGACGCGGTGGTGGTGTATATTCTTTGGGCCCCCATGGACTACTACCCGGAAGGCGTGTCGAGGTCAGCTCGCACTACTCGGGGGGCCTGTTGGGGCCAGCTGGGACTACCAAGAAGAACCGTGTGCGCACATTCCGAACCCTTACCAGCACTGACCGTGAGATATTGGCCGGTTCTCGTCCACAGTCGGCGTTCAGCAACGAATGTCCGCGCGTCGCCGCCGCGTCGGAACCATGCGAAACTACCATACCTACAAATCCTCGGACCGCGATCCAGCGAGTTAAGAATAGCAGAGCAATTCATGCTAGCCACCGTGGACCCCAACACCATGTGTTTCTAGCGAACTTTGATGTGCAACGTATGTGGAACAAGCTAGATTGTACAAAACATATTGTGCAGCAGATGGTGTGCAATCCATGTTACGCAATATATGTGAAGCAGTCTTTGTGGTGCAATATACGTGGTGCGCTTTATGTAATCTATTATGTTGCGCAATCTGCGTGGTGCAGAATTTGCGGCGCGCAATTTCTCTGATGCAATCGACGTGGTGTTATCTGCGTGATGCAAACAACATTGTGCAGCACATGTTATGCAATATGTGTGGTGCAAGCGTCGTGATGCAATCGATGTGGCGCGAACGATGTGGTGCAAAGTGTGCGGTGCGACCGACGTGGTGCACTGAATGTATGTTCGCCGTGAGTTGCCAACTCCACTGCTCGCACAATCATCCCACCCACCCGCCCACAACTTGGCTTGCAAAACCGATGCGGCGGCTATTGTGATCAATGCTTGGCGCTGGTTGGCACATAGTTGCGGCCGCGCCATTGCGCGCAGGCTCGCTCTCGGAGCGGCCAAATAGCCTGGCGCGACGCGGCCGCGGTGGCGCTGACCAATGGGGACTCCCCACCGCATCTCGCAGGCCACGCTGACTCTCGGGCATTTCAATGCGTGTCGGTGGCTCGGGCGGGCGTTGTATCATGGCGACGTCGACAACGGCAAACACGATGATATCCGCAACCGTGCCTGCGGCACGCTGAAGCGCGGAAAAGTGCCAAGGGTTCTTGTAGTCTTGCAAGGAATCCTCACATCCCCACGTTCACACCCACCCGACTGCATCGTCCCTATTAACGGGGGGACCTGGGCGGCCATGGCGCCTCCCTGGGGCTCTCTAAGGCTTCCATGACGGCCCAAGACGCCCCCAAAACGGTCCAAGATGGCACCGTGTCGCCGAAAGATCGCTCGAGGACGCCAAACATGGCTTCAAAATTGCCCAAGGGGCCCACACGACGCCCCAACCAGCCTCCAAAACACCACCCATGAGGACCCCAACAAGCAAACAGCATTGATTACCCTTCGGTGTTTGATTGATCTTTGCGGTTTCACCAGTCCGGCTGTCCGACGCTCCTGGACGACCCGAACGGGCCCTCACTACCAACCCAAAACGGCTTAATATGCCCCCAAGGGGCCCCCAAGGCGGCCACAAACAGAGCCAAAGAGAGGGAATACGCACCGAAATTCGAACGGTCCGCCTTAAGAGGCCCCGAAAGGCCCCAAGAGGCGACGAAGAGACCCGAAACGCTTCCCAAGGGCCCACCTCCCAGAGGGGCCCAAACGGGGGCCCCAAGAGGCCCCCAAACAGCCCCCAAAAGACTCCCAAAGGGGTTTCTGAGAGTCCACCGACTCCAGGAGGGCCCGAAGAGGCCAAAATCATTGATTTCCCATTGGTTTTTGAAGGATTGTGGCATTTGCGTTTTTTCTGTCTTCCGACGGCCCGAGACGGCCCAATTGCTTCCAAAACACGGCCCCAAGAGGCCCCCAAGACGGCCCCAGAGGTCTCCAAGACGCTCAAGATGGCCTCTAAGACGGCCCAAGAGCCCTCCAAGACGTCCTCCAAGAAGGCCCGAGAGGGTCAAAACGGCCTCGGGACGGCCAAGATGACCTTCAAGATGCCCACGTGTTCCCCGAAGGCTTTCCAAACCGATTCGGGGAACACATGGCCCGATAGCTTGGCAGGTCTGGCCTCAACGTTCGGCCACATAGGCGCTTCCAAAAAGGCAGAGAGCGGCGGTGATTCGCCGTAGGCGTCTTCGATCAGCCGCCCCCTGTCGATTCATCGCAGGGGTGCCTGTCGTGCTAGATGATTTCGGTTTGGTTCTCTTCCAAAAGAACTCACCCTGGGGCTCTGGCGCATCCCACCGGGGTCCAGGGAAGGATCTCAAAACGCATCCGTCAATGCCTTTGTTGCCCCAAGTTGACCCAAGATGATCTCCAAGACGGCCAAGATGGCCCAGGATGGCCTCCAAGTTCGCCCAAGATGGTCCAAGGTGGCCTCCAAGACGGCCCAAGAGGGTCCAAAATGCCTTCTAAATCGTCCAAGAAGCTTCAAAACGGGCCAAGGTGGCTCCAAGATGGCCTCAAGATGGCCCAAGAGGGTGCCAAGAGGTCCCCCAGGAGAGCCCGAAGAGGCCACAATCATTCCTGTTCTATGTTTTTTTTAATGATGTTGACATGTGCTTCTTTGAATCCTTCCCACTGTCCAAGACGGCCCAACAGGCCCCCAAGATCGCCCCCAGAGCACCCACGAGGCCTCCAAGATGGCCCCATGACGGCCCAAGAGGCCCCCAAAACAGCCCCAAGAGGGCCCCAAGACGGGCCAAGAAGCCTCCAAGACGCCCAAGGTGGCCTCCAAGACGGCGCTGAAGCGCCCCAAGAGGGCCCCACGCCGGTTCAGAGAGGCCCCCAAGACGGCTCCCGATGGGCCAGGAACCCACCAAGATGGCCGAACATGGCTCGAAGCTGGCCCAAGACGGCCCAAGAGGACTCCAAGAGGGTCTCCAGGAAAGCCAGAAAAGGTACAAAATACTGATTGTCCTAAGGGTTTTGAATGATTATTGCATTTGCTTCTTTTCGGCCTTCTGACGGCCCGAGACGGCCCAAGTGCCCCCAAAAATAAACCAAGAGGCCTCCAAGAGGCCCAAGAGGCCTCCAGATGGCCCAAGTGCCCAGATCGCGGCCCAAGAGGCCTCCAAGAGGCCCAAGAGGCCTCCAGATGGCCTCCAAAAATCACGGGCCAAGTGCCCAGATCGCCCAAGAGGCCTCCAAGATGGCCCCAGAACGGGCCAAGAGGCCCCCAAGACGGCCCTAAGAGGCCCCCAAGGCGGCCCAGGGCCCCAAGTCGGCCCAGAGAGGCCCCACAAACGGCTTCCGACGGCGTCAGACGGGCCAGGAACCCACCAAGACGGCAGAAGATGGCCCTAAGATGGCCCAAGAGGCCTCCAAGAGGGGCCTCCAGGAAGGCGCGAAAAGGCCAAAATCATTGATTTCCCATGAGTTTTTGAAGGATTGTGGCATTTGTTTTTTGTTCGGCCTTCCGACGGCCCGAGACGGCCCAAGTGCCCCCAAATATCGCCCAAGAGGCCCAAGACGGCCCTAAGAGGCCCCCAAGACGGCCCAAGAGGCATCCAAGACGCTCAAGATGGCCTCTAAGACTGCCCAAGAGCCCTCCAAAACGTCCTCCAAGAAGACCCGAACAAAAATCAAAATGGCCTCGGGACGGCCAAGATGACCTTCAAGATGCCCACGTGTTCCCCGAAGGCTTTCCAAACCGATTCGGGGAACACATGGCCCGATAGCTTGGCAGGTCTGGCCTCAATGTTCGGCCACATAGGCGCTTCCAAAAAGGCAGGGGGCGGCGGTGATTCGCAGTAGGCGTCTTCGATAAACATGCGCGCGGCCGACGGGCGCGAGCGGCCCTTTATGACATTGTCTGACGAGGACCGTGCCCCCCCCAGCAAACGCCCAAGGGTGTTCGAACGATTTCGGCACGCGCGCGTGAAAGGCCCGCGTGGTCGCCCTTGATAAAATGCTGAAGAAACGAGGGTTCCCCAGGGAAGTCGCAAGAGTGCGCGCGCTGGAACATGTGCTTACAAACCATGATACAACACCAATTGATGCTCGATGTCTTCGAACATCTAGGTCAAGCATACCGTACGAAACCGATGGTGTTGAAGAATTCAGGCACGCGCGCTGGACAACGCGCGCCAGCGGACGCGGCCCCACTTGCTGCGCAAGGCAATGTTGACAACCAGTGGGCGTTGATCAAAGAACACGCGCGCGCAATTTCATGTTACGAGGACAGTGGGGGGGTGCCCCCACCCCACCGGATGGTATGAGCTCATATTCAAAATAAACGGCGTGGCCAAATTGGTTGTAAACCGTACTATCCCGAGAGAATTAAGCCCGTTGGCGGCAAGGTGTGGGTGGCGGTGGAGTTGACTCGGGCCTCTGCTCAGGAGCGAAACTGTATATCGTGCGAACTACGTGGCGCAACATGTGAAGTGTAAATAATTGTGGCCCGCTACGATTTGTCAACTCCACTGGTCGAGGCATCGCCCGGACCGCCCACCTGCAACGTGACATGCAAAACGCATGGGGCGGCAATTGTTATGCCTGCCTGGCGCTGGCTGGCGCTCCGGTGCAACCGCGCTAGCGCGCGCAGGCTCGAGAGCAGAGCGACCAGCTAGTTTAATGCGACCGACGCGGCCGCTGTGGCTCTCATCGCTGGGGACTTCCCTGCGAGTCTCACAGGCCGCGGTGGCGCGCGGGCATTTCAGTGCGAGTGAGTGACCAGGGCGGGCGAGCCATGGCGACGTCTACAACGGCAGAGACGATGCAGATGGCAGCGAGGCTAGTGAGGACGGTGACACGGGCGACGGCAAAGCACATGGCGGCGCCGATGCTGATCACGCCGATGACGATGATGATGTTCACGCGTCGGCGATGAAGGTTTTGGAAGGATGTCGACATGCGCGCGCGGCCGACAGGCGCGAGTGGCCCGCGTGGCCTTACGCAACTGGGATCACCCACCCATCCACCCCCCAGCACGCGCGCAAGGGCGTTCGAACGATTTCGGCACGCGCGCGCGAAAGGCCTATTTGGCCGCATGCGACGAACACTCTGCAAAACAAATGGTTTCTCATGAATTCGCAAGATCGCGCGCGCAGACCGTCTTTTGTTGTTGATTTTGTGTTGTCTTGGGAACCGGCGTTGCCAACATGGTTCTCTGTAATTCGCCCTCCGTTAGGGAATCCCGACAAAATCGAACAAGGTGTTGGAATGATTCCAGCATGCGCGCGCGACGACGCGCGCGCGCGCGCACCTCGTCCCTTGTCTTGCAGGTGATTCTTGACACTTAACAAGTTGTGATGAACGAGTGTGCGACCATACTGCGGCTGGTGCAAGAAAGCGTTTGAGGCGAGGTTCGATGCAGGGGCTGGGCTGGGATTGTATGAACTCGTAGTCCGAATGACAGATGGGGCAACCTCCCATTAATATTTCACACCCGCGTGCGATGAAATGGCTGCAAACAAATGTCTGTTATCTTGCGAACTCGCCAGAGCGCGCACAAACATTCTTACACAATCACGTTGCAAAACAATTTGTTGCTATACCTGTGAACGGGAAACTCGCCGTTGAAATCCACGCGAAACCATGTGCGCGCGACGATGCGCGCGAGTGCACTTCGCCCAACGTTTCGCAACAGGTTGTGTGAAACTTGATGTGCTTGATAAACGAGTGTGCGCAAATCGTTAACTGCTGAGCGGCTGGAGGAGCGGAGGGCTCTTTGTGTTGCAAGGATGAACAGGGGCGGGGGCGGGGGGGCGCGAACCCGGCTTCGCTGGGAAAATTCTGGTTCGCTTTGAGAACGAACGAAGGGGCAGAACCGCACGCACACTGCACATCCCCAAGGGGTGCCGATTATCGGGGGGGGCTAACCCCTGATGAAAAAAAGGGAACCTATTATTGCCCGCAACGACTTGTGAACCCCGCTGATCGCGCGATTTGTCCGCCCACCCACCCGCAACATGGATTGCGTAGCCCATGCGACTACGATTGCGATGACTCCTTGGCGCTGACTGGCGCATCGTCGCGGCCGCGGTGGCGCTGACCGCAGGGGATTCCCCGGCGCGTCTCGAAGGCCGCGCTGACACGCGGGCGCGTGAATGCGAGTCGGTGGCTCGGGCGGGCGCAGAAGCATGGCGACGTCGAAAAGGACAGGCACCATGAGATAGCAGCGTCGCTGATGGCGATGATGACGATAACGACGACGAAGCCAATGATGGAGCCGATGCTGCTCACGCCACTGACGGTGATGTTGTCCATGTGTGGGTGATGGAAGACTTGGAAGTATTTCGACATGCGCGCACGGCCGACGGGCGCGAGTGGCTCGCATTGTGTTATTGGACAAGGGGAGCCCGAATGATTTCGACATGCGCACGCTAGGTCGCGCTCGTAAAACATGTCGCGCCCATGGTTGTACGAATTCGCGAGAGCGCGCGAACAAGCTTGTTGTGCAAAGTCACATGCAGAACCATCTGGTGCTTTATATGTTTGCGGGGAGCTCGACCTTGAAACCCTTACGATCACGATGGCTTTGATTCACGGATGTCGCCGTGCGCGCGCTACGCCGCGCCGTTGTAGACTGTGCCACAGTATTTGCAAGGGTTGTTTCAATGTGTATGAACATTTTTAGACGGGAGGGATGACGGGGGGAGGTCGGTAAGGGTCTCTCCTGGGATGCTGTGAATTCATACTTCCGATGAACGATGGGGCAGAGCAATATTAGGGGAGCCGATCAGATTGGGGTGGGGAAACAAGAGCCGACTTTCTTCCAAGACAGGAAAATATGCGAACCGACGGCGAGGCGGCGACGGTGAGCACGGAGCCGCCAGACCCGCCGTCAGGCCCAGACGACAGGCGGCGACGAAGCGGCGACAGGGCGGCGACGGCGAGCATGGAGGCGACAGACCAGCAGCCAGACGCAGCTCCGGGGAACACAAGTAAGAACCCCTAAGTGCAAACACTGCTGTGGAGAGACGCTGGACAATAATTGTCCCAAGGCTTGGCTGCACTCTTGCACATCCGTGCGAGGCCCACCACTCGACACGATGGAATGTGTCCTCAAATACTGAACGCCCTCCGCGTTGGAAGAGAAAGACTCCAAATTACAACGGAGTAGACTGCTGCCTCCTCCTCCTCCTCCTCCTGTTCCTCTTGCGTTCTCTTCCACCTCTTCCGCCTTCTCCTCGTCCTGGAACCTCCTGAACCTCTAGCTTCCTCAAGAGACCCGAGGGACAACTAACACACTCAAGAGCGCGACACGTACCGACAACGAGGAAAAGTATGATGAGGGGTCGGGAGGGTGGGGGGGAGGAGACTGAGGGGGAACGAGGGAGGATGATGAGGAAGAACGCCCGTCGAACTGGAGGACGCGGAAGAGGAGAGGGAGAACAGGGCGATGAACGAATGCCATCTGGCATGAAGGGGGGGGAGGAGGACGTGGACGCGGAGCTGGAGGGGGAACTGGGGGCAGTGGATGGTAGCCCCAAGCCAACCCCGAGCGCAGGGGCCGAAGCAAGCCCCATGACCACGGAGGCGAGCACCGCGGCCCCCTCCGAGCATGCTCGGGTTGTGGGCGCAGTACAGGCTCCGCAGGGCCGAACACTCCGACAGAAGCACGAAAAACTCCTCGGGCACAACAGGCACGGGGGATGGAACGCACAGAGACATACTAATACTAGATGTCCTCCTTGGAAGCGAGCGTCCGACCCGTACAGATAGTGGACCCAGATTGTAGTACATCGTCTCCCGAGCGGCGTGGCCAGGGAGCGCCCGCCACGACGCATATACTAGAAGACAGATGAGGGGGCCGAACGGTCATTCATTGTCCCTGCGTGCGTGGTTGCTTGTTGCGTTGTTGCTGTTGTTGTTTGCTGCCGTCGTCCTCCCTGCGACCCACCCCGCGACCCACCCGCGACCCACCCCCCGACCCACCCTGCGACCCACCCCGCGACCCACCCCGCGACCCACCCCGCGACCCGCGACCCGCCCGCGACCTGGCCCGCGACCCACCCGCGACCCACCCCGCGATCCACCCACTTTGCTTTAATGAAAGATCGGCGCCTGCGGCGGGCTCAATGCATAACTTGTAAAACTTAGGCGCCTGCGGCGGGCACTTCAGAGCCTCGCAGACTGACGACGTCCTCGCCGCCCCCTCACTCTTATCCGCAACTGCGGGGTGCTACGTAAGATTTCTCGGTGCGCGCGTCGCCCCTGGGGGTTCGACGCAAATATAGTATAAGTATGTTGGGGTGACTCCGAGAGGGACCACTGCTGGGAGGTCTTCGTCGGAAGGGTTCAAGAAAGTTAAACCCCACTGGGGGACTGCTACGCTGGATTCGGCCCCAGCTTAAGCTGGGCTGCGCTGGAATAAGCGGGATCAAATGGGATTAAGCGGGATTGAGCCAGATTCAGCTGAATTGCGGACCAGGGCAAAATCAGAATTTGACCTCCCAGGAGTTGCATCCGAAAAGCAAGGAGGGGACGGAGGAGGATCGAGGGAAAATCAAAAGTTAATTGGTGGTGTGTGTGTGTGGTTGCGCCTTCTGGGGGGTCTCCTGGTGGTGCCCTCTGTTGCCATGGCTGGATCCGCGTCGAAATCCTGGCTAGCGCACTCCAGGAAAGATTTGGAGGGGCCGATTTTGAGAAAGGGGGAGGCGGTCATCATACCATCCCGTTTCTGCTACGATGCCATTTCCACTTCCGGTCTTGCTCCCGCGCATCGAGCCGCTTTCCTCAGAGGGTTAGATAACGACATACACATAGGAGGTCCGCGCGGATTTCTTGGATCGGCGCTGGACCCTCCTCCTTGGCGCGCAGAGCGCGCCAAGGTCACCAGGGGGCTCCAACGCCGATCAGAGGAATCCGTACGGACCTCATGGTATCATCTGCTGTTGTAAAGCCTGGGGGAGCGAAGCAACACACAGCAATAGTGAGATGCGCGGGTTGGGTCCTCCTGCTGGGACGCGGACGCGAGGAGCTGGTCGTCGGCGAACAAAACCTCGCGCGGCCCTTGCGTCCTTCGTCGACTGCCCGAGTCGGTGACAACATCCGCACAGCGCATACAACACGGACCACACACGCACGTACACACGCTGACCGAGAAAGAGCTCTGGATCGGGCCACACACGTATGCAACACGAAGACATTGAGAGCATCGCGCCGCGTGTGTCGGCAAGCCCACAAAGACACTGCGATGAGGCGGAGGGACGAGGCGGGGAGGGAGAGCGCAGGCGTGCGAACATAAATGCCTGCTGGGCCGAACAACGGCGTGTTCCAGAGAAGGCCCAGCTCACGTCGCTGCCACGAGAACCCCGCACCAATGTTCTGGCGTCCCTGCAGTGTAGGCCCAGATGGACGGATGAGCCCCATGTTTGGTTTCTGCCCGCAGCCACGGCACCGAGCAATCGAATGAGCGCCCCCGACGCATGCCGGCATCGCGGCACGAAAGAGCAGCTCTGAGAAACACCTCCTTCGTTTCTACAACACCGCCTGCCCACCCTCTCCTCTGCTTGGGTAGGCACGGCGCGTACTTGGGATAGGGTCGAACCAGCACGCTCGCTAGGCGACAACTGCAAGAGTGTAACAAACATTGCGCCGAGGATACGCGTGGGCCCCGTCCAAGGAGCACCGTCGTTGCGAGCAGCGACGCAACCCTCCACGCGAGCAAGAGGCTGGGTTCGGTCCCCATTTGACGTCGACTATCGAACGGGACTTTGGACCTCCCGCCCCTCCCATGTTTCCCATGACGTCCTTTGTGACTAGAAGGCCTCCTAGATGGGCTCCGAGTAGACGTGGTCGGAGGAGCGCGCCGCATCGCTGGTGCCTCCTCGATGCATCGGCGACGTCGGCGTGGAGAAAATTGGGCTCCGCATCGCGCCGCGTCGTCGATGCATCGGCGATGCGGGGCGATCCTCCGACCCCACCTACTCGGACCCCATCTGGAAGGCCGACAGTGACCCGCTCCGCTCCCCTCGGGCGGGTGGTAATGGGGGGGTGACCTCAATGGGGGGCGAAGACACGGGCCCGAATGGGGCGCTTTGGGACCCCTTCTGGAGCCAGCAGGGGCCCATAAGGGGTCCGAAAGTGCCCCCTTAAGGACATTTTCTGTTCACCGCATTCAGGCCACCCCCTTATCACCACCGGCTCGATCCCCTGGCTGCCCTGCTATTCTGCACACTGCCTGGTCTCCCCCCGCTCCTCGCCCCTCCTCGCGCCCTGGACCTTGCCGGAGCGAGCGGGGGGGGGGGTCAGCGAAACGGCGGCATGCCGCTGTTTTCATGGCCCCCCTTTGACCAATACAGTCGAACTCGGGACAGAAGAATTCCCCGAGAGCACGAGCACAAGACAGGAGACAGAAGAGCATCCCTCAAGACAGAAGAACATCCCTCAGGACTGTCGAGCCCAAGACACAAGAACATCCCTAAGACAGTCAAAACCTACCATATACAGCCATACCTAGGCCAGAAGAACATCCTTCAAGAACACGGGACCATCCGCGGGCCAAAACGCACAGAATATCTAATGGTACCTTCCCCAAGGATGCATAATCATATCCAACAGGCACGAAGAACATTAGGGCACCATCCGCGAACCGACTTCGATCTTATACCTCGGTCCGGCTGTAAGCGAATCAGCTGTATACAAATGTTTTCATGGCCACCCTTTACCAATACACCCATTTCGCCCGCTGGCCTCTGGGGTGGCAGATGGAGTGGCCTACATCTCGCGCCGCGAGGACCCCAGCAAAATCCAGGACTCACACGACGTCTCGAAGATTGGCCTGCCTGCTGGAGAGCCCTCCGAAGCAGGGTCAGATCGCGCAGGGCAATCGAAGACAAATCCTTAGTAGGAAATGAACCCAATATGGATCGCGACTCGAAGCCTGGATGACCCCCTGGAGTGACAGCTGGAACAGGACTTCTCCGCGGCAATGTCTGGCGCTTGCGGCCGCATGCTGTATTCAATCTGGCTTCTCGCGAAGTGCCCTCAGGACCCCAAGAAGCAAACCGCCCCATGGATAATTGAAGGGCAGGAGTGTGATGTATACACCTTCAACCCCACCGACCATACAGGGTGCTGAAGCACATCGCGCAACGCATCGGACGAGCGTACGTTGCCAGCTCCTGGTTTCAACCTCCTCTCCTTTTCATTCTGCTTTATCGTAAGGCAAGAGCGCCCAGAATCCCACACAGACCCAAGCACTCACGCACTCATCATCATCATCATCACCATCAATATTGGCCACACTCACTAATTCACTAGCGTTCACTCACTCAACCACTCATCACCATGCCATGAGGATCGCCCTTGTTCTTAACAGTTCTCTTCCGCGGAACAACGATATCCCACGTATGTGCCTAACTATTTACGGCCGATGACAAAGAGAATGTGGCAGGAGGAAACAGCAGAGCGAAAGAGGGAGGAGAGAGAAACGAGGAGCCTACTGCGGACGACATGCGAGGAGCGACAGACACGAGGCACGAGCTGCACAGGCACAGCCGGACACGCTGGGAGCAGCATGCACAACGCAGGCCGCACCTGCAGGGCGGGCAGGGCGGGCGAAAGCCGAAGCTCGCCACGGCCACACGTTCACGGCCATGCGGCGGGGACGGGCGTGCCACACGCAGAAAAGTTGGGGACCAACGACTGAGCACAAAGAAAGCTCAACAAAAAGAAGGCACGTGCCAACGAATAGCGTGAGATCCCAACGCCGTGAGACCGACAGTTCACGACCACGGGGGCGGTATCTTACGCAAACACCATGGCGAACTGAAACTAAAACGTGGCGGCCGCACCAAAACAAGACGCCCGGTGAAGCAGAGGGGCAGCAACGCGCGGCCCGCGAGGACCAGACAGCGCAAGGGCTCTGGCGCGGCAGCCTCCCTGGGTTGCCGAGCGCTTTGCCCCGAAACGACTACGAGGTGAAGAGGAACAGGAAAGAGGGGAGGAGGGAACAGGAATGGGAAGGGGGATGGTAAATGACTAAGTCATAATTAACTACAGCTGTCACACCACTCAGATGACGAAGGAGACGTGTGCAAGGTGTAGACGAGGATAAACATAACCCCCTTCATCAGAGGCTTCAAAACAGGATTCCAGCAAACACACATCGAATCGCAGAGCTGATGATATAGACGATTAAAGATCTATCGCCAAGCCATCCAAACCACTGCCACTCTGAAATAACCAGCGCCTAAGCTGAAATGGCATCGACTCTAGAAGGCCCTATCCAAAGATCATCGGGCAACCTCGAAAGAGATCGTCTCAACCACAAACGGCCTCGGCAGTTACACACTAGAAAGGTAGCGCTTCTGACAGCACGAACTCCAAACACTGCGAAAAAACATAGTACGGGGCTTAGACGGGCTCGCAGCCCCCGTGCCTCCAACCCAACCCTCGGCCTGGGACGGAACTTCGCGAAGCGGTACGCCCAGCCCCAGTATCGCCGACATCGTCATCATCAGCCCCATCACCCCACACGCACAGGAAGTCATCACCATCGTAGCAACACCCTATCATGCTCACCGGTCATCACCATCGCATCATGAGGGAATCTCGAGCGGGAGCCTCGTCTGTGACGGTGTTACATGCAAAACTCAGGCGGCAACCTTCCCTGTGGGGCCCGCAGCTCATCTGATTAATCCGAGCAGATCACCCGGATCCTGTAACTATCGTCACTTTTGGCCACTTCAAGCTTTAATATGGAGTAAGTCTCAGGCGGGAACCCCCTCCCAACGGGGCCCGCGATATATGTCATTAATCCGAGCGGGTCCTCGGAATCCTGTGACTGTCGTCGCCGCTGGATGCTTCAAGCTAGAGTACGGAAAAATCTCAGGCGGGAGCCGTGCTCGTGAATAAGTTGGAAGGAGGTATCAAGCGGGAGCCCCCTGCCTACGGGGCCACAACCTGTGTAACTAATCCGAGCGGGTCATCGGGATCATGTAACTGTCGTCGCCTCTGGCCTCCTCAAGCCTGAGTATGGAGGAAGTCTCTGGCGGGAGCCTCGTCTGTGAATGAACTTGGGGACGTCTCAAGCGGGAGCCCCCCTGTCTACGGGGCCCGCAGCCCTTGTTACTATTCTGGGCGGGTCATTGTGATCTTGTCAGTCATCTCCCTAAGCTTCCTCAAGCTTGACTATGAACGAAATCTCATACGGGAGTCCCGTACGTGAGTGAACTACGAACTAGTCTTAGGCGGGAACCCCCTCCCCTTGGGGCCCACAGCTCATGTTAGCAATCCGAGCGGATCAATGGGATCATGCCACTGTTGTCACGTCTGGCCTCCCCAAGCTTGAGTATGGCGAAGGTCTCAAGCAATAGCTTCGTCTGTGAGTGCATTGCGGAGAAGTCTCAAGCCCTACCTGTGGGGCCCACAAGCCATGGTACTCATCTAAGCGGGTCATCGGGAACTTGTCGCTGTCGCGATTTCGGGGCTCCTGAAATCTCGAGCGGGAGCCTCGTCTGTGAGCGGATGGCAAGGAAATGCAATGGAACATGCTGATCCTGCGGCCGCCCACGTGGGAGAACAATCATGTTAAATCTGTTCATGCTTACACGCTCGCGTTCCACTCAACACCTATATCCCGAACCCTCGACACCCGCCCTCTTCGTATGTAGTCGTATCCCCTTTGGGTATATCTGCCTTACCTGCCGCGTGTATTTGGTGCACCCCCTAAAACAAGGGAATCGAAAACGAATGGTAAGGGAAGGGAGAAGGATGGAGCACGGGATGAGCAGGAGGGGGGCTAGGAACAGAAAGCACGTGGCAAAACCAAGCGGGCTGATCGGGCGGGTAGACCCTACCGAGCGGGTCGGGAAGGCGAGCCCAAGCGGCCAGGTCGAGAAGGCGGGCTGCTGAAGCGTGGGCACTGCATGAGTCGCAAAGGAGGTCTCGATCGACAAGCGCTTCCCAACTGAATCGCGGGGAAAACCGAAACGAGAGCGCGACTCCTGAGGGTCGAGGGCACGGCGTTTGAATCTATTGCGAGGAAAACCCTCGCGAGAACGCGCGGTTCCTGCATAAGTTGTGCGGGAATCCCGCGCGAGAGCGCGATTTCCCAAGAACTTGTGAGGAAGTGTCAGGTGTGAGCCTTTGTTGTTGGTGTTGTAGGCAGAGGGTCAACAATACCGTTTTGCGACCCCACGCTTTCCTTGTAACAAAGCAAGTGCGAGCCTTGGCAGGAGCATTTCCTTGTAACAAACAAAATGCGTTTTCCTAGAAAGCTACGATTGTCACCGGAGGGGGGGATCAGCAATACGTATTCTTTAGAACTGAGAACTCAAAGAAGCAGCAATCCGCACCGCAGAACACCACTACAACCACGCACCCAGGGACAGTGGATGACCGTTCGGCCCACATCACACTGATATGTGCTGATATGTGTACATATACATACTCTGATTACACCGGCACATGTACAATCGCGGGTTTGCCGCTGTTGGTGTCAAGTGGTCAGCAAGAAACCTACGGTGTGCAACTCAGGGTGCACCTATGAGATGCAAGCTAGGGTAACGCTGAGTGGGTGCAGCGTGTAGGGTGCAACTGATGGGTCCAACTTCAGGGCGCAACAAATCGGATGCAACGTATGGTACCAAACCCGTGAGCCAATCATATTGGCGAGGGCGCTGGCCACAGGACCGAGCTGTGGACGGGAAGTCGGGGACAGGGCCTAACCCAGGTAAACTGCGCAGGAATAGGGCACACAACATGTGGGCAGTCGAGGACACTCAACGCAAGAAGATTGGTCCAAGCGCTGGGCGACTTCTCCGTAGCACACCAAAGATCCCTTCAATTCAAACAATGTGCAAGGAACATGTTTCAACATCCGTGCAACGTGCATTCCGGTCAAGCTTGAAATGAAGCATACTATCGCCAACGGCAGCCGATTTCTATCGGAGGGCTCATCCCTCGAACACTCCGTATAGCAGTCGGTTGTATCGCCTTCAGACAGTGTGCGCTGGAACATAAGAATTTACAAACATTAGCCTGGCGAAAGACCCAACCATCTGCAGCTGTGCTCACCGCAGTCTTGAGTATCATCTTCGCTGGAGCTCCCTATGGGGCCACGAAACGTGTGAGCGGTGTGTAGACATGGGTGTGGCGGGCGCATGTGGACGTTGCCTCTGGAGCCTTCGGTGGAGCTCCCCATGGGACCACGAAACACGTGAGGGGTGGGCCAAACTTTGTGAGGCGGACGCATGTGGACGGTGCCCCTGGGGCCTTCGGTGGAGCTCCCTATGGGGCCACGAAGCGTGTGAGGGGTGTGCCGAAATGTGTGTGGCGGACGCATGTGGAGTGTGCCACTGGGGCCTTCGGTGGAGCTCCCTATGGGGCCACGAAGCGTGTGAGAGGTGTGCCAAATTGGGTGTGGCGGACGCATGTGGACGTTGCCTCTGGAGCCTTCGGTGGAGCTCCCCATGGGACCACGAAACATGTGAGGGGTGGGCCAACATTTGTGTGGCGGACGCATGTGGACGGTGCCCCGGGGGCCTTCGGTGGAGCTCCTTATGGGGCCACGAAACGTGTGAGGAGTGTGCCGAAATGTGTGTGGCGGACGCATATGGACTGCCACTGGGACCTTCGGTGGAAATCCCTATGGGGCCACGAAACGTGTGAGGAGTGTGCCGAAATGTGTGTGGCGGACGCATGTGGACGGTGCGGTGCCCCGGGGGCCTTTCGGTGGAGCTCCCTATGGGGCCACGAAACGTGTGAGGGGTGTGCCGAAATGGGTATGACGATGATGATGGAGGAGGGAGGGGGCAGCGGGAGTGAGGACGCGGGGCGTCGTCTCTCCAAAACTAGGACCCAGCACCACAAGATGGTTGGGAAAAGACCCTGGTAATTGAACGTGTTCCTTTTGTGGACCTGTTCTCTTGGATGTGGGGTTCCTGCACGGGCACAGACCGTGGCCGATGCGAATCACCTCCCACCGCCCCACCCCTCCCTCCCCTCCGGGGCTGGGTGTAACTGGTTCCTTGACACTCAGGCATCTCCCATCGAACACCCCGCGACATGTCTCTCGCTGTTTGCCTCGCAAAGCTGGCTCGTCCACTCCATACTGTCGAGTGCCATGCGGCGGCTCCTGCGCACGCTCAATGCAAGACACACCGCATTCTTGCCTGGTGCGATCAGCGGACCCGTAGATCGTGTCGCCGCAAACAGCCAATGTTGAATTACGTGCATTACATGCATGGGGGTTCAGGCCCTCTGGACCCCCCCAAGCCCTTTCTGCATGATCCTAGCAGTTGTCTCACCCGCCTTCTCCTCCTTCTCCTCCTCCTCCTCCTCCTACCCCCTCCTCCTCCTCCTCCTCCTCCTCCTCCTCCTCATCATCATCATCATCATCCCCCTCCTCCTCCGTTTCCTCCTCCTCCTCCTTCTCCTCCTCCTCCTCCCTCCTCTTCCTGCATCTCCGCTCTCCTGACCCACCGTTCCGACTGTGGGCGCTCCTCCAGCTACTCCCCCGTCACCCCATCTTCCTCCTCCATCCCCCTCCTTTCCCCTGCCTCCACTGCATGTCCATCTCCTCCTCTTTGGGCATCGCCTCCTGGGTCCCCCCTCCCCTAGAGGCCTCCCAACTGGGGTCGGAGCACACGGGGTCGGAGGATCGCACCGAATCGCCGATGCAGCGACGATGCATCGGAGACGTCGGCGATGCATCGGCGATGTCGGCGTAGAGAGAATCGGGCTCCACATCGAGCCACATCGCCGACGCATCGGCGATGCGGCGCGATCCTCCGACCGCATCAACTCCGACCTGATCTGGGAGGCCCATTTAGACATGCGACGCACTGATTTTTTTTTGTGCGGTCACTGGAAATCCCGACGGTTTCCCCAGGGCCAGTGTTTCGTCCCGAGACGTTTTCTGACGGTCCCGGGGCCCAGTCAGGGCCCCCGAGCGACCGAAAACTTAGAACAACCTCCGTTGCATGTCTGGGTAGATCCCCCTCTGCCCGACCACCCTGCCGAGGGGCCGAGGAGGCAGCGCAGCTCACTCGCACCGAGGTCACCTCTGGACGTCGGCCCGAGGCTCGCGCCTGGCTCCGGGCGCGCGCCGCGGAGGGCGGCGTGGCACTGGAGCCGCGCCCCCGCGCTCGTCGGCCAGCCTCGGCCGACGATCGAGGATCGAGCGGTTGAGGTTCATGAGGAGAATGCTGGGAGGCTTCGCGCGGCAACTTGAGGCCCAACCTGCGTCGCATCCACGTCGGATGCACGTCGGATTCTCGCCAGATCACGTCAAACGTGCGTCGGATTCCCGTCGGCTTCGCGTCGGACTTACGTCTGAACAGCGCCGCGCGAACGTCGACCCGTATCTGCTGGAGCGGACGCGTGGACCAAAGGATACAATCATTGCGCGCCGCGCGCGGTATCCAGGATCGACGAGCGCCGAGGTTCGAGGTTCGAGTTCGAGGATCGAGGATCGACGACCGTACGCCTGAAGCGCCTCCGTACGCGAGGTGTCAGGCTCGGAGGCTTCTGCGGGGGATTCGAAATAGGCGGGAGAGGTTCTGAAATGCCCCCTGTCTTCTCAGAAAGCCGCCCTCTCGCCCTGGACCCCTCTGCGCGCAGCCGATTCGTCCTCGTCCGCCGCATCCCCTCCCTGCGGCCTGTGCTGAGACAGAGAGAGGCCTCGACGAACACGTGAAGAAGTGACGTCCTGGTCGGCATTCCGAGCACCCCAGGCCCATCAAGTATAAACATCCGAGGCAACTGATGCCGCATGATCGCATCATCACACAAAACAGTAGCAACAACATCATCACTAGCGACATCGACGTCGTCTTCGTCGTCGTCGTCGTTTGACCCCCCTTTCGCTGGGCCCGTCGCCGCTCCTCCCCTCTTTCACTGGGCCATCCTCATCAAACGAGCCAGCCAAAGCAGAACCAACGCGAAATTGAGCAACGTCGCAAGTGAGTCGAAGGGAAGCCCCTTCCCTGTGATTCCTTCCCCTCCCGGGGGCAGGGGGGGGTTCTGGGGGGGGGATCCCGGGGTCCTGTGGGGGGTCATGGGAGGGAGGGGCCCCTGGGGTGGTCCTGTTGGCGCGATGTGGGACTGTCAGGGCGCAGCAGCCATGCTGATGCTGAAAAATGGGCCCGCGCCTGACCCAGACCGGAGGGGAACGCAAGACCTCAGCTGGCGGCGCCTGGCCGGCTTCGCCGGCGGGGGGTCCCATGGTGAGAAAACCATCCTCCCCCGGGGGGTCCTGGGGCCCAATAAGGCCACAAGACAGCCCAAAAGGCCCCCAGGACGGTCCACGAGGGCCCCGAATTGCCGAACAATCGGTCCAAGACGCCAACGAGGGCCTCCTGACAACCCAAGCGACTTCCAAGACTTTCGACGTGGCCTCCAAGAGCACATCAAGAGGGCCCAACAGGCAATTAAAGTATTAGTCGTTCGGGTTTTTGTGAGATTCTGCCGTTCTCGCGTTTTCGGCGTCCGGACGCCCCAAGACGGCACAAGATGCTACAAAGATCGGCACAAACGGCCCCCCGGAGGTTTCCAAGACGGTCCCAAAACGACCCAAGAGGGCCCCAAGAAGGCCCCAGATGCCTCCCAGACTGCACAAGAGACCGCACAACGAACGAACGGAGGGGGCCCACACGGGGACACGAACGAACATTTCGAGCCCTCGGCTCCGAGATGCTCCCAGGAGGCTCCAGGAGGTCCCCAAGAGGCCCCCAAGAGACCCCCAGGAGGCCCCCAAAAGACCCCCAGGAAGCCCGAAGGGACCCCCAAGAGGCCCCAAAGAGGCGCCCAAGAGGCCCCAGAAGTGCCCCCCATTGGCCTAAGCGCGCTCTGAAGAGGGCCCACGGCCCACGAGGCATTACTGAGGACTCTGCCCCACGTCGGCGTCGTCGTTGACGCAGCCGACGTGGTCGTCGTCCCTTCGGGGTCGGATGCGCCATGAACATCACTAGCAAGACGCGGCAGCAGATCAACATTCCGACGCGCACAACGGCCAGCCCGCGCACTCTTGCTCTAACCATCGTCACTCTCGCTCGCGACAGCAGCCTCTGCAGAAGTCGCGGCCTGGCCTTCGAGGAAGTTCTTCCGCCACTTGCTCTCGACCACCTGAGGTAGCATGTTTTGGGGGCTGCGCTGCTGCTGCCTAAGAGTACGCGACCCACTCAAAGTGGAACGATGGCGGGTGATGAGTTGCAACGTTGGAAGGTGTTGTGAAACCTACGCATGTCATGTGGAGATCAGCGGGCGGAATGTAGTGTGGGTTTGGGGTCTTGGACGGAAGCATACACTACGACGGGCCGTGGCGATGACGACGACTGGAAAGAGGCGCGGAGTGGGCGGTGGCTCGGACGCCTGATCCTTCACGTACTCCTCACGCTGCAACTTCCCAGTCATCCGCTTGGCCTGCTCCACAGCATCCTCCTCGCTCGACTTGGACTGCTCGAGGAACATGAATAGCCTCCCGAGTCCGCCTCCTCCGTTTCATCCCCGCAGTCGCGGTTACCCTCGCCAGCGGACCGGTAGGACGTCGCGTCGAGATCACGAGCGCCTTCTTTTACAAAGTGAGAGAACGCATAGGATCTGCTAAAGTGCCGAAATTATCGTTGGCGTCGCCCGGGGTCAGAAGAAGGATAAGCAACATAAACATAAACACTTTGAGCTCCGCGAAATGTTCTTGGGTCGGCGCTGGAACCCCCTCCCTGGCGCGTGATGTGCGCCAGGGTGCACATGCGCGTGAAACTCTCACAAGCAGCGTCATTCCCATGACTGGCCAGTCAGGGGAATCCTTTGCCTGTCATCCGAATCTGGATCCAAATCTGGATCCTCTTCTCGAGCGCTTTTGGCGGGGGCATCCGAATCCGGATCCAGATCCGGACCAGATCTGAGGTGCGCCCCGTCGACAATTCGGGATTCGAATCACGGATCCCAATCCGAATCGGGATCCGGATCCTCTTCTCGAGCCCTGCAGGGGGGGCGGCATCCGAATCTGGATCCAGATCCGGACCGGATCTGAGGTGCGCCCCGTCGAGGATTGGGGATTCCGATCACGGATTCCAATCCGAATCGGGATCCGGATCCTCTTCTCGAGCGCTTGGGGGGTGGAAAGGGCATCCGAATCCGGATCCGGATCCGGAACGTCTGGGGGTCGTAATGTTTCCCCCTTCTCGGTCCTACGGACAAGGGGAGGAGGAGGAGGACCGATCCTGCGGCGCCCCGAGGGGGAGGAGGATGACAAGGGCCAAGGGTAGAGGGCGAGGAGGGCGGAGCAGGAGGAGGGTAAGGAGGAGGACAGGGACACCCCCCCCGCGCTGCCCCGCCACCCCGAGCGGGGGACCTGGAAATCTGGAAGCACAGAGCGATCAGAACTTTCGGGCGCCCACGTCTCGACACGTCGCGTAGCCGTCGCCGCCGCCGCTGTTTCCGTCGCCGCCGTCCTCGTCGCTGCCACCGTCGTCGCTGCCGTCGTCGTCTCTCCGTCGCCGCCGTCGCCGCAGGCGTCGTCGGCGTCGTTGGCGTCATCGCCGTCCGCCTTGCTGCCGCCGTCGTCGTCGTCGTTCTCGCCACCGCCGTCGTCGCGTCAATCCTCGTCGCCGCCGCGGTCGGCGTATCCATCGTCGTCGCCATCTTCGTCGGTCACTCTCGACGTCGCTGTCTTCTATGGGCGCAGCGAGGATCATAGCACGACGACAGCCCCCCAGGAAAAGGTTTTCAATGGTTTTTCGCGATAGCGGCCGTTACCGCCGCCCCCCGTCCCATGGTCAAGTCTCGAGTCGTACTGACGACGTCTGCGAATGCCTGAGCATACCCGGGACAGCTCGGAAAGTAGGTAATACATGGGATCTGCCGTGGCGAGCGTGGTGCACCATGCTACGGATATGCAACGACCTACGATAGATAGCCATGGACAGCTCAGCGCAGCCGAAGGGATTTCTGGGAATACGATACGGTGTTGTTCTATCCTCTCCCTTCCCTCCTCCGCCTCCTCCTCTTCCTCCTCCTCCTCCTCCTCCTCCTCCTCTCTATCCTCCCCACCTCGTTGTCCTCGTCCCCCCCATTGCATTGCAGGGTGCTTCGCACATGGACGCAATAATGAAAAGGGAAACGCAATGAGGGAGGGGGCGAGGCAGGCGGGACCAGGCTGAAACGACCTGTTCGATTACACTCCTAGAATCGATTCGTGCTCTGGGAGGAGTCCGGGAGCCCATGGGTCCGACGGGGGAAATGGCGTCGTCGGCGTCCTCCTCAACTCCTCCTCCTCCTCCTCCTCCTTCTCCTCCTCCTCCTTCCTCCATATTCCTCATACTTCTCCTTTTGTCGTCCGCTGCCACCTCATTGCGTTGCAAAATGCTTCGCTGCACATCTGCGTGCGCACCACATCCCTCGGGCACGCTGGGGGCGTGTGAAATGGCGTATGCCCATGGGATACACGTGGCCACGTCCAAGTTAACCTTGCGACCAGCGCACTACCTCTTTCCTGAGCATCCTATAGTGTTGGGTCCTCGTTTTGAAGAGACTGCGCTCCGCGTTTTCCGCACCCGATTCTGCACACCGGGTACACATGGGGACCCCGGACCCGACTCGGCACAACCCTCATTCGTTTCGTGGAACCATAGGGAGCTCCAGCGAAGACGGTAGTCACAGCTGGGTACCAACAACTGGCTATTGTTGAGTCCTTCGCCAAGATAATGTTGAATGATCGGGCGACGATCGCGGATCTCAAGCTGGGTGTCTTAAGCAATCCTACAGGCTGGACGCACACGCGTTTGTAAACACATGCGGAGACCATTTGCTGGATACACGTGCGCATTGCCGGCGTACTTAGCCACGCGAAGGCAAGTGCCCGAAAATACATGCGTCCACATTAGTATCCAACTCCCACCCATTGTGGCCACGTCATGTGTAGACTGCTTCCTGGTCAGAAACGCACCAGCAAAAATGTCCCGGATTGTGGGGGTCCATTTTCCTAAGGAGGCAGGAGCACAACGATGATGAGAACGAGCACGACGACGAAGACGACGGGGGAAAGGGGAATGAGGATGGATGCAGGAGCGAGGAGCAGGAAGAAGAAGAGAAGGAAGAGACAGGAGATGAGGAGAAGAAGGGGGGCGCTCTGCCGAAGCAGATCCCTATGGGTATGCGCGCTCAGCCGAAACATATCCATATCAAATAATTGGTATCCGACAGACTCTCTCTGGTTATTCCTGGGATTCCCGGGCGGCGCTGGCGCGAAACGTGACATTACTGGCCCCTCCCTTCCCCCCCCCCTCCCCAAGAACCGCCTGTTATCGCCCAGGAACGACAAAACGCTCTCCAGACGCGCACCCGTACCCCAGGGCCCGCTCCGGAAGGGAGACGAAGAGGCGTGTGGAGGAAGGGGCGACCTATATCCACCAGGCATGAGGGACCTCCATCAGCCCGGTCCTGGAGAGATCGTTCGGCAATAACTGCGAAAGCAACGTGCCTTGCCCCCCCCGAGAGAGCCCATCGAGTTGACGATCTTTTGAGGGGGGTTAACTACCACGATAACCATCTGTGGCTGGTCTGAAGAGACAGGGCGGAGGTGCAGGCGGAGACGAGGAACGGGCGGAAGGACGCAAGATGGCAGAAGCAAAACGAGGGCGCCTTGGCCGGCGGCAGCCGGCGACAGGCCGGCGCGGGCCGTCGCATGGCCGAGAGATGACAGCATGTTGTGGTCCAGGGCTCGTGGAGCCGGTCAGACTTAGATCATCGCGGGTAGATGCGGGCATTCGGGCTCGGGCGGTTTTCGAGCTTGGGTTCCTGGCCGTCATCCGCCCGAGCGAGAGGGGGAAACGGCGAACCAGGCCCACGAGGGAGCCGCAGGAGGAAGGGGCACCGCCAGGGAGACAGAGGAAGAGAGAGTCAGGGCGGGGCCCCGCCGTCGAAGCCCCTGCCTCCTCCCTCCGTCCTTTCTTCCATTCCTGCCTTCATCGTTCCCCCCCCCCCGCACACACCTCAACTTCGGTGGCAACTCATGGGGGCCTCCCATACCATCTTGTCGGCCCCTGCGAATCGACGCGGGTCTACGCTAAATCGACGCTCATCGACGCTGAATCGGCGCTATCTCATCAACTCCCAGACGCTAGCCGACGCTAAAGACGGAATTGAATGGGTATCCCAAGCTCCCATGATTTGCTACCGAACCCACACCTTCACCCTGGGGGAAGTACAATCGGAAACTTCTGGACAAGGTGTCGCTCCGCAGGTAATGGCAGAGCGCGCTTCGGCGCGACACGCTGTCCACATCCCAGTCCCCAGGCGTGCACGTCCCGAACCTTTTCTGGGCTTCCCGCCCCGCGGAGCAGAGTGACATGCTATCCGCTCGCACGGCATAGCCGTAGCTGCCCCAGTACGCAACACGCAACCCGTAGGGTGCTCACACGGATCGACCCAGAGAGTGGAGAACGTACAACTGGCACGATACGTTCGCCAAATCGTTGGCGAACGCGCGCCGAGCAAAACACGCAAGTCAACACTGACGCTGCTGAGTTCCCTCCTCCTCCTCCTACTCCTCCTCCTCCTCCTCCTCCTCCTCCTCCTCCTCCTCCTCCTCCTCCTCCCCCTCCCCCTCCCCCTCCCCCTCCCCCCTCCCCCCTTCTCCTCCTCCTCCTCCTCCTCCTCCTCCTCCTCCTGCGTAAAAATTGCACGGTACGTGCTGAGTTCCGACACGGGCGTATCCGTGTAGCGCTTAGCGTGTCGCCGGGGCCACCGCCGCGGCACGCGAAGCAAAGGTCGCCTCACCACTGGGCCTCCGAGGGCCCCCTCGCGGGGATGCTGGCGGGGCTCTCGCGATGCCTTCGGCCATCGGGGCCCTCTTGGTGGCCAGTCGGCCGCTCGTGGGCGCCCCTCAGGAGTACCGCCCAAACTCCTGTCTTGAACTCCTACTCTTAAGCTACCGTGCGCACAAGAAGGATAAACCGATCCACCAACAAAATCCCTGGACAATCCCCCGGACGACCCATGCTGATTCATAACGACGATCACTGGCACCAAACAGATTCCGCAGATGCAAGGCGGACAAGGAAATGAGGAAGGAGAGACGGAACATGGAGAAATCGAGGAGAGCAGGGACGCCTAGCTGCATGCATTGGCAGCATTCTGGATCAAGGAGGGGGCGGCCGCCAGCCACCGAGGCCACTAGAGGGTCAACCTCTGGCCGGTGTTAGTACACGAGCGCGGTCCTCTACTCGCAAAAAGTAACTGCTCGCAGATGGCCTGGCTCCGCCGCGGGGATTCTACGATAAATTACGTCGAAACAAGCATATTTTTCGGACGTTTGCGAGTAGGCACTTAGCGAGTAGTGGAACGCGCTCGGCGAGTTAGGCTAGGCCGAAAATTACACCCCCACGGCGGAAACAAATACCAAACACGACGTGCTTGGCACAATGCCTGGCCGCGGGCGAGTGGCACAGCCGAAGTGCGAGCGTGGCGCCAGGCGCC